TTTGGGGGAAACAAATACAWATGTCTTCCTGCGGGGGAATTTATAAGTTAACCCTCCCCATCACTGCAATGGTATGAAAACATGAACAAACTGAAGGGCATCATGGTCACACCCTCGTATCCCAYAGGACGTCAAATCTCTGCTGTTAAACGGATAGATACATGGCTTCTGCTGCTTCTGCACCATTTTGGAGTCCACATGGCAGAATGGAAGCTCGACGTCAAAGCATTTAAGAGCGTCCCATCTTCTTTTTTAAATATTTTCTTCCAAGCTACTCCTTAGGGAAATGCCACCCCGGTGACCCGCCACGCATCCGCCGCTGATGATCCGAGTAGTAAACACCACACTACTAGCCACAGATCAAAATGAAAGACGGCATACATACCAATGCATGTGCAACACTAACAAGACAGACACTAAGTTAAACGCAAAGTGCGCCCCGGTGGCAGGAAACTAGTTTAAACCTGTATCATAGAAAGTCTACAGACACTCGTCTCAACGCAAAGTGTCTGTGTCCTTTTGGATTCTCTCGACTTGTTTCYACCGTYGGATATAAGTGCAGTACGCAGTACACATGTAGCTGAGGTATACTAACAGACCGAGAGATTTGAACCTTTCTCGTACCTARTCAAATCAAATGAAAATGAAATTCCGTGCTAGTGTTCCTACTCWTTCTTACCTGGCCTCATCGTTATCCTTCTTAGCAGAATCAAAAGAAAAGTATTCATACCCACCTACATCACCATGTGTGTTCGAGTCAGAGAGTTCAGGGCATAAAATGGGAAATGATAGGGCTGATTATAGGCGACATCACATACGTCTGACTTTCTGCTGATTGACCACATTTTTATCACCATCTGTCAGCTGACATCAGCCTTACAGAAGGCACCTCAAACCACGACAGTCACTGCAGGGTGAAAATGTGTAAGTAGAACAACGATCACTGAAACTAGAGCATTGCTCTCATCGGCATGTGCAATTTGAAACTGCACACTGCCCTTGGTAAAAGTTAAAAATAGTCAAATTAAAAAATATGCCGAGTACACACGTGATCCAAAATGTCAAACCTATGTTAGAAGTAAGAAAAGTCAGAATCTCCGGAACCACCCAATTAGTCCCTGGCGCACCAACTGGCAACTGCCGTCATGCCAGACAAAGCACACATGCAGCCATGAAACACACAATGACACACAATCTACAGCCCGACGTGCATCCGTGAAAGTCCAATTAAAAAGTCCGGCACAGTCAGCTTTTTTTGTGCCCGTCTATATAGACCTCACACACACAGCACGGCATCACTCACGGGAAACGATCAGGGCTAGGGTCTGGACCATACTTAAATCATGCCAGTACATATCCACATGGCGAGTTCACTTCTATACCAAGAACTGGTTTCTCGGATTTGCTGCCGTTCTTGCCAGGAGTTAGAACCAATAGTCCAAAGGAACACACGCCTGGTGCGCAAGTAAGGTCTACCACTTTTCTCAAGGGTATGGCTAAAACTCTGGGCAATGTGGTGCGTCCTCATCCCGTCAAACACATCCCGGGAGACTATCGCTCCAGTAACTCAACCTCTTTAATGAGTCGGTCAAAGAAACAATCCAGGACAATCATGTGTGAGGGGAAAACACACACACACACACACACACACACACACACACACACCACACACACAGAACACCTCCAACCTCCAGACGAGTCCGAAGTCCGACGAAACAGTCTGGCACAGTAACGAGGCGAACATAACACACAACACACACACACACACACAAGCTATCTACGAAAACACCTAATAAACAAATGCATCAGTCAAAACTCTCCGCACCCACACTGGGCACACACAAAATCATCCCAATGTTAACCAATCACCCGCTTGCAGCCTTTGAAAGACATTAGTTAAACTGAAAGTCTCATATATTCCACTACACATACCTAGCTGCCCACGGGATCGACAGGAGCACACTGTGTTCAGTCCTCTTTTTTTCCACGACCACCATTACCACCATACCTAGCTGCCCACGGGATCGACAGGAGCACACTGTGTTCAGTCCTCTTTTTTTCCACGACCACCATTACCACAAAGGATTCTCAGCACACATAACCAAACCGAAGTCACAAACCCTACCCTGCCCCAAGGGATATACAGCCGCACACTTCGAAGTGTGCAGTGCCACAACCACCATCACCACACAGGTTTCTCAAATCAAACCAACGTTAACCCATCACCCGCTTGCAGGACAATAAAATTAGAAAACGATGTATTAAACTAGAAAACGATGTATATTCCACCATGCAGACCGTAACCTGCCACGGCATCAACAGCCACAAGCTATAAAAAATTTTACAGCCACCATTACCACATCCGTTTCCTATCCCGGATCTTCCCAATCGCCTTCCTAATAAATAACATCCTCCCCCTCACTCAACTACCCTCAGGCCTCGGCCCCTCCGTCCCCCAAACGAACAACAGAAATTTTCTACGGCCCACAGTGAACACGAGCATTTAAACCCATCAGTTCGCAATGCGGCACGCCGATTCATACTAAGGCTTGAAATGCAAGTCACATCAAGCATGTACTATGTAGTATGTATGTAGCGCAGCATACACAATTCATAGCATACAGGCATGCATGTGGTTGGGCGCATAGCTGCCAAAAAATTCCCAATTGGCGTACAGGTTAAAGTGGACAGCCTCATTATTCCACGGCAGTCGGTCTGGATGCCATGGGGTGTCATGGACAGCCTCGTTATTCCACGGCAGTCGGTCTGGATGCCATTGGGTGTCATGGACAGCCTCGTTATTCCACAGCAGCCGGTCTGGATGCCATGGGGTGTCTACTGTCCATGACACAACACCACTGGAAAGCCTGTGCTCGTGACACACACCACTGGCATGCATGCACTCTTTCCACAATCAAGAAACCAAAGCCTTAGGACAAGACATACCCAAGCATCTATAATAACAGACAGGAAAACAAGTCAAGACTGAGCGTCAAAAGTGGTTAGTCACGGCCAGCAACACATGCAACACATGAAAAGAATGGGACCACGAAATGCACTGCACGGTTCACAATACACACTGGCACTGCACTCTAGCCTTAGCCCTCCCTCGCGTCTCCTAAAAATGACAACCGCTTTCCACCAACTGATGAAGCTCATAGGCTTAATCACTCAGTAGTCTAACAATTCAGCACCAAACGCGAGATGTAATCATATTCACCATCACGCCAAGGCAGCCAAGACCACAGCAACTTCGCATGCAACAGGGATAGGGAGGGAAGGGAGGAATGAAGCAGGCAAGATCACAATCAAGCAGCGCTACGATGAGGAACAACATTCAGGCAAAATTGTGTCAGAGGTAGTACCATTCTATATGGGGTTAATTTCAAAAACATAATTCGTTCGAAGTTCGACAGCAAAAATGTCGTCCGTTCGAAGGTTCCTTTGCAAAAATAGAGGTTTCGTTGCAGCTTTATCAGGTTCCCATAGTTTGCCAGCAAAAATACCGCGTTTTGCCAAGTTTCACAGCGAAGGACCCCTAGGCCCCTGGCCTCAAGGACTCAGGGACTCAGCATCCGGCCGCAGGCGAACCAGCTTTTCTCCTTTCTTTTTTTTTGAAACAAGTGCGGTAGTAGCACACTTTCAAACTGTAAAGGCACACTTTCAAACTGTGAAGGCAAAAAAAAACACTAATGGGCAAAGGAAAAATGGCCGCAGTTCGAAAAGGCAGTCAGAACATCAGAAGGTGGTAACATCAGACCCCGAGTTTGAAAAGGGCGGTTGTAGCACCCTTTTTTTTT